TATCTATATATATATATATAGCTACATACGCGATTGTCCCATAAAGCAAATGGGAAATCATTTTATCGTATTCCTAAGGATCCCGATAGACGACTAAAATGGTTCACTGCAATAAAACATGCTAACCAACACAAAAAGCACCACAGGGGCATTATAGGGATCTGTTATGCTTAATCTATTAAGTTTTGCTATGTACAGGTCTATGTCTTTTGAATTAAAGTACGTAGTGAACTCTGTTGCCTTGAAACTCATGCTGGCGCCATTCATTTCCCTCGAATAAAAACTAAATTTCGTTTGGGGAAAATATTTGTTATATTTATTCAATGTCTCTTGATGTTTTGGTTCTTTTGCTGGTAGCCCGTTGTAAATTATTATTATTATTATTATTATTATTATTAGTAATAATAAAAAAATAAAATAAAATGTATATATATTGGACGTGCGAGCATAGTTACGTGCCTAGAATGCTTTGCATAAATCCCGCTGGCGCTGTCTGTGACGTCACATGACATGTTCGAAATTAGAACGTTCAGAATCTGTATAATACTCAATCTGCTTGATCGCTTTTACAACTCAGTCTGCTCGTTTGCATTCTGCTCGACTGCGTGATTCGCTCTGCTGTACAAAAATATTTACTCTGCTTGATTGCACTCTTAATTGTTGACCCAAGGGTCCAATATATTAAATTTCTGCAAGTCTCTCTGCAAGACTTTGCCCATTTATCTAGACTCCAGAAGATTCAGCTGGTTCCCCAAAACAAAACCATGCTGATCACTGTCAGTCTGGTGATGTTATGGTGGTACTCCACCAGGGTGAAAAATAAATCACCAAATACAGTGAAAGAGGAGGACACCAAACAACCACAGATCACCAGAAAGACAACCAAGAGACAACTGGAGTGGCATTTCACAGAAGGTAAGCGCATCATCTGTACATCTGAGCATATACGAGTCATTCCTGGTGTTTGGTGCCTTTTGGGTATCATAAAATGTAGAAAATCAAAAACAGTTTTTTTTGTGTGTAATCATGATAGGAAGTTGTAAAAATGATTATGATCAAGCTCAGGAAAGTACATTTAAGCATTTATGAAAATCAGTCTGAAATGTGAGATTAAAAATGTCCAGCCTGTTAGGTACATAACAGTTTCTAAAAACTTATCTGGTGATAAATTGGTCATTTTTTTTCTTTTCAGATACAATTGTATAAGCAACGTTTTTGCTTAATTTTTATACTATTGATATTTAAAAAAAAAAATTTGACACTGAATTATTAGTAGGCAATTTTTTTTTTCTACTTAACGTTACTTTTTTTTTCATATTTTTCATATTTTCCGTAATAGAGTGGACATGTTGAGGTTGACCATATCAGATAAAATTAACAAACATGGATTTCACTAACATTATCAAGTTGTTTTCCCTCCAAGGAAGTGATGTCAGCTTTATGATTTAACTGTCATTTCATTTTGCCAGCTTTAATTTGAAGGCACAGTAGTCAACATAACAGAGTACACAATGCCTTGAGGGTCACACTAAAAACTGTTAATACAATTTTTAAAAAATCTATACATAGGGAAGTATTACATATAGAAGTATTAAGTATATATGTATATAACAATGTGCAATCAAGCAAATTTGAAAATTTTTAATCACAGTAACCATTATTCAGATAACAATAAAGTAGATCCAATACTATAACAGTTTCTACTCTCTTCTTCTTTTGACACAGGATCTGAGACTGCCACTACCTCTGCAGCTGACACTGTCTCTGACACGGACAGTGCACCTGAGACCGCCATCATCCCTGAGATGAACAGTGCACCTGAGACCGCCATCGTCTCTGAGACGGACAGTTCACCTGAGACCGCCCTCATCCCTGAGACGGACAGTGCACCTGAGACCGTCATCGTCCCTGAGGCGGACAATGAACCTGAGACGGACAGTGCACCTGAGACCGGCATCATCCCTGAGATGGACAGTGCATCTGAGACCGCCATCGTCTCTGAGACAGACAGTGCACCTGAGACTGACACTGTCCCTGAGACAGACAGTGCACCTGAGACCGGCATCATCCCTGAGACGGACAGTGCACCTGAGACTGACACTGTCCCTGAGACGGACAGTGCACCTGAGACCGGCATCATCCCTGAGACGGACAGTGCACCTGAGACCGTCATCGTCCCTGAGACGGACAGTGCACCTGAGACTGGCATCATCCCTGAGATGGACAGTGCGTCTGAGACCGTCATCGTCCCTGAGATGGACAGTGCACCTGAGAACCTCATCGTCCCTGAGACGGACAGTGCACCTGAGACCGTCATCATCCCTGAGACAGACAGTGTACCTCAGACTGTCATCATCCCTGAGACTGACACTGTACCTGAGACGGACAGTGCACCTGAGATGGACAGTGCACCTGAGACTGACACTGTCCCTGAGACGGACAGTGCACCTGAGACTGACACTGTCCCTGAGACGGACAGTGCACCTGAGACTGACACTGTCCCTGAGACGGACAGTGCACCTGAGACTGACACTGTCCCTGAGACGGACAGTGCACCTGAGACTGACACTGTCCCTGAGACGGACAGTGCACCTGAGACTGACACTGTCCCTGAGACGGACAGTGCACCTGAGACTGACACTGTCCCTGAGACGGACAGTGCACCTGAGACTGACACTGTCCCTGAGACGGACAGTGCACCTGAGACTGACACTGTCCCTGAGACGGACAGTGCACCTGAGACCGTCATCGTCCCTGAGATGGACAGTGCACCTGAGAACCTCATCGTCCCTGAGATGGACAGTGTGTCTGAGACCGTCATCGTCCCTGAGATGGACAGTGCACCTGAGAAACTCATCGTCCCTGAAACGGACAGTGCACTTGAGACCGTCATCGTCCCTGAGAGGGACAGAGTGCCTGAGACCGTCTTCATCCCTGAGACTGACACTGTCTCTGAAACCGACATTGTCCTTGAGACTGAAACTGCCTCAGAGATAACACTGCCCTTGAGACTGACACTGCTTCTGAGACTTTCACTGTCTATCAGTCTCAAACAGGCTCTGAGCCAGAAACTCTCTCTGAGACTGGCCCTGCGTCTGAGAATGACACTTCCACTGAAACTGACACTGCCTGTCAGACTAACACTGCCTCTCAGATTGAGCCTGCCTCTCAAACTGAGACTGCCTCATAGACCGGCACTACATCTCAGTCTGACAGTGCATTTCAAACTTACAGTACACCTCAGACTGACACTGCCTCGAAGACAACACTGCCTCTTAACGTCCAGTGCTTTGGAGCCTACCACTGCTTCTGAGACTGCCAATACCTCTGAGACTGACACGGAGACTGCCCTTCAACATAATGAAGGTGCCACTACCTCTGAGATTGACACTACCTGGAAGACTGCCCTTGAATATAATGAAGGTGCCACTACCTCTGAGACTGACACGGAGACTGCCCTTGAACATAATGAAGGTGCCACTACCTCTGAGATTGACACTACCTGGGAGACTGCCCTTGAATATAATGAAGGTGCCAGGGGCTCTGAGACTGACACTACCTCTGAGACTGACACTACCTCGGAGACTGCCCTTGAATATAATGAGGGTGCCACTACCTCAGAGACTTGCACGACCTCTGAAGCTTCCACTGTCTCTGAGTCTGACTTTGAATATCAGATGGCCGCTGCCTCTGAACTGCCAATGGATCTGATCCAGCTACTGCTTCTCAGACATCCACTGTCTCTGAGACTGACACTCCCTAAAGACATGTGCCCCTTTTAACTTACAGAATATGTCCTATTCTTTATATGGTGCAATAAAAAAATACCTTTTTAATTCTACATTACTTTCTTATTTTCTGTACTATTCTTAAAGGAAGAGAATTCATGCCACAGTGAAGTCCATGGTAGGAGCAATGCTAAATGCAATACGCCAGCATTGCGTTTCATGTCTGAAATCATTCCACATTAAAAGGCAATGCTGTTTTATTTCACTTATTTTCTTAAAAAAAAAAAAAAACAGTACATTTAGGTTTGCATTCCAACTGTTTGATGCTAACACCTTGCAAGCTAAGTACACAGTTAAAGGAACACTCCACTATTTTTGAAAATAGTCTCATTTTCCAACTCCCCTAGAGTTAAACAGTATGTTCCTTTAAATAATATATTAATTATATGGTATTAAATGATGTTATCAATATTTAACTTGCCCAGTGCAGTATTAACTATATTAACTATAAGTAGATTCTGTGTCAAGGTTGGAGCAAATTAGCTCAAAGGGAAGAATCGATATTATAATCAACTAACATTGAACATTCAGTGTAATTTCATATCAACAATAAGAAATATTATTTTCCTCACCACATAAGGACTTCAACTGTGAATTCGGACATACTACTCTTTACACATACTGTTTTCACCTAATATACAGTAGGTAAGTATGTGATTTCAGATCCAGCCTGTATTTTGAATGAATTGATTAACTAAATGATTCAGTTATTCACTCATAAAGACGGTTGTTTCTTTTCTGATTGAATCAATATTTTTAATAAATTGGTTGACTAAATGTTTCAATGATTCACTCATAAATACAGTGGTTGCATCCGAATATGCCCGCTTCCTTACTATATAGTGGGCAAAAAAAATAGTATATAAAAACAGTGGTATGTCTACATAGAAGTATGCATAAATAATACGCAATTACTATTCAAAAGAAGTACTTATTCAGAGAGTATCCATTTTTGGAAGCAGCCAGTCACTTGATTCATTCCTGAATAAAACCATGGTTTAATAATTAATCGGTTGACAGAAGGGTTCAATGATTCATTTCACTCATGAAGACGGTCATTTAGTTCCTGAATGAATCAGTGTTTTGAATTAATTGGTTGACTGAACGATTCAATGATTCACTCATAAAGACAGTCACTTGTTGCCATCCACAGGTGTAATGACATATATGCTGGGATATTAATTGTAATTGGCAATTACATACAAATTATTATTTTGCATTGCTGTAAAAGTTTAATGTTGTTTGTCTGGCAAAAGTTTTAGCTCGAAACAGTTTCGGAAGGCAGAGGTGAACCTCGGCTAACAGAGCCTTGAGCCCTGTTATATGAATACATTGATAAAACACATAAGAGCTTGACTCACATGGTTGCACTGCACACCAGTTTTTATTAAACTAAAACACAAACACATAACTAGTCTAAACAAACACAACATACACTCACGCATACACAGGTTAACTGGAAGGTGAAAGTAAGAGTGAATGAACAAAACCGAAATGGAAACAAGGGAAGAAAGATCAGAAAAAGCCCACATACACTGGCTCATAGACCCTCCCCTCAAAAGAAATCAGGACAGAAGTGGTCAAAAGTGTACACAGGCTGGATATGTCTCCCTCGTCTGCTTCTGATCCGATCTTAATACCAGGTGTAAACAGGGCTGAAGACTTCTGCTCTGCACAGTGAACATCATGAATGAGACACTAAATACCAGCACATCTCAAATGTGCGCAGCCTTTGTACTTCAATATTTCAAGCATTTTATGCAGCTAGTTCTCCAAACAGAGCACACACACACACGTTAACACAATCATCACAAACCCTAAAGGATTTCCGTTTTGAAGTCTGAATACAGAGAATGTAATCCTTGGTAAGTCACAAGAAAAGATATTCACATCAAATATCCATGCCTCTAATACTCTTTTATCTTGTAAACTTGCATCTGTTGTTTGATAAGAGTATCTCTGAGGAAATAAAGCCTTTCGTCCAAGTGTTCAAGGATTTGTTCTTTCTGGTAATTCTTGTTGAGGCCAATATTTAGGGTGTTCATTTCTTGGGTAGTATAAACAAATAATAGACCATACAAGCCATAATAAACTACACTCTCTCTAGTGTGCGCACTGGGTGGTCGCTTTACTGGTACAAGCCAAAAGAAACACCGAAAACAGCAGAAATGTCTTGAAATGGCCCGTCCAAACACAACACACACTATGTCCTTTCAGATTTTCTAACCTTAATCTGCAGTTTGGTCATTTAGCATATGCGCAGCAGCCATCTGACTCAAAGCACTGGCACGGCCCCACAAATCTGTACAACAAGGGTTATCAAGCTTGTGTTTGCCCTGTGGCATACATCAGTTTGTCTCTGAGCATCTTTTTTTAATGAGCGAAAAGGTTTAAATACAAAGATTGGATGGATTGATGGATAGGGAAAAACTGCACCGCACACAACCCAAACACACATAAGGCATACAGTCATGCCAGAGGCGTTCTGCAGCATGATGGGAAATGCACTGCATGCTAGTGTTAGCAAACCAACATCAACATTTCAGCTGCAGTCTCGCTAAAACTGTTTAAAGTCCCCATGAAATCAAAATTAAAGTTTTTTTGGGTGTTAGTATCAATATGTTAGTCTTAAGGTTATCTATAAGGCAGTGTGCTCCAAAACAGTGACAAAATTCGCATTTAGAAGATATAAGCATTCAAAGCTTGCAGTTCGTCACTTCCGCCAAAACGGCTCAACTATTTTTTTTTGACGTCACATCGTACTTCAGCTTCTCATCAAACTTTCTGTCCAATCAAATGCTCTCTAGAATCCGAAGCTCCGCCCCCTACACTATACAAGCTGCGACTGAAATCGGTCACTTGTACACAGAATTAATATTTTCTGTGCAGTGAATGGCACGTAGTGTACTATATAGGGGACAGGAAACGATTCAGACAGTGTAAATATGCTTTCCATTGAGGAAAAAAAGAAGTCTGGTTTCGCGCTGTGTCACGCTAACCACCGCACCGCACACACACTCTGCTCCGGTCCAGAGACACGATAGCACGGAGCGGATCACATGCGTGAGGTGGCGCAGACCACAAAATGTATCGGAGCTATTTGAATTCTACACAGAATGCTATATTTATAGCAATATGGATGAGATTGTGGCTGGCATACCCTGTCAAATGCGGCTTTACGGAGCTCACCGGCTCTGAACGGCTCTAGCCCAAGCTGTGATATAAACGAACGCTATTGGCTATTTTAAAAAGGGGCGGGGCTGCTTGATATGTCCCGCCCTGTCTTCCTGTTTCAGTTAAAATGACGTCAACACATAGCATATCAGGGGACCTTTAAGAACATGTCCATGTCATATTTTACCCTAAAATAAAAATATTTATTTATTTATCAGCTTTAAAAAAGTGAAAGATACCTCACATGTGGTCCGTTTTTTAAGTTTTGTAAAAAAAAAAAAAAACTTAGCCATTGTGAAAAAGAAGCATGCTTAACTGTATTGAATGTGCACTTGTGGTGTACTTCAAATCTTGAAAGTATATTTAAAAAACTGTATTTGCAGATAAAGAGACATTATTTTCATAATTATGTTTCTTAACACACTTAAGTTCACTTTTAAAAAGTGCTCTGTGTAATAATGTCAAATGAAACATTTTATTTAAAAGTACATTTTAAATCGTTTTTAATTATTTAATCTTTAAAAATTGTAATCTTTTGTCATGTTAAAGTACACTTATTTTGATGTGTTAATACTTGAGCAAATGTAAAGTACTTGATTAACATTTTAACTGTAGCGTCGCTCAATGTTGCATTTAAAGTTAATATATTTTAAATGTACAAAATTGCAACTTGATCATTACAAATTCATAATTGCAAATATATTTAAATACAAGACATACAAGTTTCAGAAGAAATTACATTAAAGTATATTTTAGCTTACCATAAATGTTTGTCAGTACATTCAGCAATTCCCTTTAATCATATTTCAGAGACAATATAAGTAATTATAAAATTACATATAAAGATGTATTTTATAAAGTCCTACTTAAGTGGGACTCAAAAAGCACTCTAAAGTTAATTTGCATTTAATATGCTTATACAGGTGCATCTCAATAAATTAGAATGTCGTGGAAAAGTTCATTTATTTCAGTAATTCAACTCAAATTGTGAAACTTGTGTATTAAATAAATTCAATGCACACAGACTGAAGTAGTTTAAGTCTTTGGTTCTTTTAATCGTGATTATTTTGGCTCACATTTAACAAAAACCCACCAATTCACTATCTCAAAAAATTAGAATACTTCATAAGACCAAACATTTTTAGTGAATTGTTGGCCTTCTGGAAAGTATGTTCATTTACTGTACATGTACTCAATACTTGGTAGGGGCTCCTTTTGCTTTAATTACTGCCTCAATTCAGCGTGGCATGGAGGTGGTATGGAAGCCCAGGTTTCGTTGACAGTGGCCTTCAGCTCATCTGCATTTTTTGGTCTCTTGTTTCTCATTTTCCTCTTGACAATACCCCATAGA